TATCTATCTATCTATCTATCTATCTATCTATCTATCTATCTATCTATCTATCTATCTATCTGTGACAGGGTTTCTCTGTAGTTTTGGGGCCCGTTTTGGAGCTAGGTCTTGTAGACCAAGCTGGCCTCGAACTCACAGAGATCCTCCTGCCTCTGCCTCCCGAGTGCTGGGATTAAAGGTGTGCGCCACCACCAGTTGACTTTACAACCTACTTTTAAAAGTGGGTTAGGGAGGTCTGAAATCAGGTCCTCATACTTGTGCAGTGAACACTACCCTGTGAGCCATATATCTGGGCACACTCACTCAGATTTACAGAAACGTCAGTAGAAGCAGCCCAGTAAAAATGTATGAAATAATATTGATTGTGATATTGATTATAGCCCTGATAAATAAGCATCACTAAAAAGTAAAGTATTGAATGTACGTGACAGCCATATTAACATTTTAGAACATCAGATGGAAAGATAGCAATATATCATTTAACCTGGTTTAGGGGTAAGGTGTATCTACGCACAGTATTCTATGACTGGACAGAACCCTGAGCCCTGCAAGCATGTATCTGTTCACAGAAAGGCAGGGGAGCACATGCTGGGCTCATGCAGTTCTTTCTTGGATGGGGTCGCAGAACTGAGAAGTCTGGCGACTAGAACAGAATGTTATTTCGTGTATCTGTCTTACTTTTTTTCCTTTTTACCTTTATGCAGGTATTTCTTTGGAGATGTGACCAAAATATGCATCTGATTTTCAAGTTCAGTCTTTGGCTTGTTTACATCCTGTTGTTTCGGAGCCCCTGGAAAATGATGCCATAAAATTATACAAGAAGTAAGCCAACTTTAAAAACATAGGATAAACCCCTGATAATGCACAATGCCATCTTTTTCTAATAAATTTAGATAAAACACAAAACAATTGCATTGTGAGAGTGCAAGTCGGGAAACTCAAGACTAAATCTCTTTCGGAGGGATGGGGAAGCACCTTGGCATTTGAGATGCTGGGGTGGAAAATCTGGGGGTCAACCTGGCAAATCTGATGCAAACCTTACTATATACACATTGTAAAAAAATAGAAATGCTACATAAAACTACTAGAAGAACGTTTTTAAAAACATAGCATAATGTACAATCCTAAGAGCCAATTAATTCTTTATTATAGATGGAATTTTACCCCTAGGCAGAATAATTTTTATAAAGAGAGTGGCATTTGTGCAGTGAAAACTGCAGAGAGAGATGCAGAGAGGGGCAATGAATACTGTTAAGAAAAACACATTTTTAACATTGTAACAAAACAAATGTCATGAAAATGTTTGACTTGGAGGGCAAATCTTGAAATAAGGAAGCAGAATGTTTGCGGGTAGAGAGTAGTTTGTCAATATTAACGGGCGACAATAATATGAAAATATTGAGTTTCTACAGTCAACTCTTCCATTGATTATGCCAACTGTCTGCATGCAAAATGTCCTGCTGTCATTGGTTTTTAGACTGAAAGTCTAACACTCTGGTAGAAAATGATTTATCTTCTCATCATTTCCATTCCAGACGGAGCAAGAGAACATGACTTCTTTCTAACCAGAGAGACATGGTGTGTGTTCTGAGTGGATGGTATTCTGGGCAACCGGTGCATATTCTGAGTGGATGGAGTGTATTCTGAATAGATGGTGTATATTCCGAATATGTGGCACATATTGGTAGGTTGTACATATTCTGTACATGGGTGGGTGGTGTGCATTCTTAGTAGATGGTGTATATTCTGACAGAGAACTCAAGGGTGTTGGAAGTGACAGGGCCCTTGGGCTTGGCTGCGCAAGCCTGCTGGGGCTCAGGTGATGGCACTATTTGCTAGAATATGGGACACGTGGCTGCAGAATTTTGTGTTTGGCCAGCTGGGTTTTGGTCTGGCTTTCCTCTCTTCTTCAGCGATAGCAATGTTTAATCCACTCCATTTTACGTCGAAAGGCTGTAACTTGCTCTTTGGTTCTTCAGGTGTTTGCTTTAGAGGTTCGGCCTGCATCTCAGAAGATACTTTGAATTTCTGCATAAATGTATCGTTGTTTGTGAGTCTATGGAGATAGTTTAAGTGGGATTAAATACCTTTTATGTTATAGGATGGTCCTGAGCCTCTGGAAGGCCTAGAATAGAATGTTAAGGTTGAGTCTAAAACGCACCCCGCCCAGTGGTTCATGGTTTGAATAGTTGTTACCAGGGTAATGGTGCTAATTTCAGAGACTACTGAGCCCTTTGATGTGGGACCTAGCTGGCAGAAGTTGACCTCTTGGGCAGGTCTTTAAAGGTAAAAAGCTCAGTTTTTGTTCCGGTGCTGTTCTCTGCTTCCTGTCAGCTCCAATCAGAGCAGTTCGGCCATCTTCTCCTGTCCGGTGCTGGGGCTTCGTGACCATGTCTTCCTGCCATGGGGGACTGAAACAAACCTTTCCTACCCTACAGCCTTGTTTCCAAGCAGTTTGGCTCCAGCCACGGGAAAGTCAGCGACACTCAAACTGCATGGTGATTTTCTTGTCTTTTTGTCCGTTTCTTTGGACGGTGCTATCACTGACACTGAATACCTTCGTTCTTTGATATGTGCTGTAATAGAGTTTCCTTCCCGAGGGCCCCACAGCTTCAGGGAACAGCACCGCCAACTGGGGAAGACTTCAAAACGTGAGCCTCAGTCTGACACATCACGTCTAGCCCAGAACGTGCCAGCTTGGCCCCCAGAAACTTTGGTTAAGAGCAGGAGTCCCGGGTTAGAGCTGAATCTAGGGCTGAGCCAATGGGAAGCAGCACTGTGGGTTAGATAATGGCTCAACCCAGGTTCAGTTACGTTTGTCCACAAGGTACAGGCAGACAACTGACACCAGCTTGAGAAGGTTTGAAAAGGGAGGGTGTGCCACTGAGAAAATTCCTGTCCACCTTCTCAAAAATTTTTTCAGTCTTCTGAGACTTGGCTCATTGCTTTTAATTGTTCTCAGCCATCAGACATAATTTCTGATCATTTCCTTCTAGTTCACAGCAGAAGAAAATGGCCTCACTTCCTTTACTTGTATTCCCCTTTCCTCTCCCAGAAAGCAGACCCCAAATCGTTTATCACTAAATATCCTCTGCATGTGCTTGTAACAGAAAGAGCCCAGTCATCTTTTTCACTGCTGCTGTCATTTTTTTTTTCCAGGAAATTTTATGGTGTATGTATTTCTCTTAGGCATTAGGGTGCACAGTACACCAAAGAAAAACCATTCATGTTACGAAATAGTTTGTACTTGCAGGGGCAATTACAAAATGCCGCTATGGTCACTAACACAGTCTTAGATATTAGAGGAAGAGGACCATGGAGGAGCTGGCGGTGAAAGAAGAAGGAAATGTGAACATATGGCTGTTTGTCTTTCTGCCGCGTCTCCTGCTTCACTTTCCCACAGCACACTTTGCTGGGACTGCAAAAGAGAGGGGTGTGTATGTGAAAAGAAGAGGATTATGGGTTTCTACTACACATCCTCAGAAGGAAAAAAACCTCTGGGAAGGAAGTGGAGCTCCAACTTTGTCCTTATGCCGAAAGACGAGAAATGGTGGAGATGCCGCTCCCCTTCTGATGAACGTGTGTGAGCTGAATGGAATTTGTTACGTGTCCACTTGCATTTTTTTTCTAAATTCTATTCTGATTAAAGCTAATACACTTGATCATTCCTATGTAATGGAAGTTTTCAGTTAAATAATCACGCTGCACACAAACATTATTAAGTGTTACCTGAAGTCCTTCTGTTTAGTAATTGCTGGAAGGTTGTGGGTAAGCCGGAACTTCCCCTGGATGTCCTATAAAATGGCTTTGGAATTACGTTCTCATACGGTGTAGAGTTTTCCACATTTTCCTCTAGAGAGATTTAGATTGGTAGTTGTAAGACGCCTCACATTTACAGCTGCCTTTAATAGTCACGGTAAACTAGGTGTCTATAAAGCGGAACTAAAGGAATGTAGACGACTTAAAATATTTTGAGGTTATTAATTTGATTGAGACTATAAAGACAGACACTGCGGAGTGAAGAATGGAACCAAACACCTTACTTTTCCTCAGTTACAGCAATCAACTCAAAGTGGATTCAAGATTGACGTGTAAGGCCTGCAATTATGAAAAAACTTGACGAAAACATAAAAGATTATGTTTCTGGACAATAGAATGCCAAAGGAGGTTAGGACGTAGCTCGGTGTTGCGCACTTGTCTAGTCTACACAAGAACCTCAGGACCACCAAGACTTGGTAGCCCCGTTGTAGAACCCAATGGCTGCACACTCTTATGAGATGTTACAGGTAGTTATGCAGACAAAAACATTCCCCTTCTAAGATGGTTGCTGCGGTCAATATTAATTTTAATAGCCCTTTAGGAAACCAGACTACAAATGTCTTTTAATATTAGAAATCCACATATATTTTAAAAGGAGATCTCAAATCTGGGCATTTTTTTCTTCCAAGGAATGCTCCAGTGTGTGTGTGTGTGTGTGTGTGTGTGTGTGTGTGTGTTTCTGTCTGTATTTATGTACCTATGAATGCATGCATGGGTACATTTACTGGTGTCAATAGCCTTTAAAATTCAATGCCCTTCAGTGGTTGAAGAAAGCATTCTCTAACTCTGAAACGCTACGCTTTCAACAGAAAGAACAACTAAAAGCTATTTCATCTTCAGACACCAGGAGAGCGCTCTATAATATGGTTAAATAAAAAACATACGGTGCAAAAAGAATAAGTGAATAGCGATACTTCTGAACTATTTTAGGCAATTAGAGCTTGTGATTTGTCTTTGTGTATACTCCCTTACCTTGATTGGTGAAGGGTAATAGATTGATCACTTTTGTTGGAAATGTCTTTGGTGGGTGGTACTTGGCATTAACATTTTCCTGAGGTTTGGTTTTCATTGAACTCACGCCTGAAGCAAAATTGGAAAAGAAAATTGGCACGACAGTTCTGGTTACTCACAAATTATGTACCAAACTCTGTGTACTCACTCGTATTTTTCATTCACCTTTTCTTTCCCATGCTTTATCAAATGCTTACTGTCTATTACTTCAATTTCTAGAATGACTTCCATCATTTTCTCTTTCTTTTCTTTATTCTGTGTCCTGTGCTAGCATCTTTCTTAATTTGGACCTGGACCCACGGCCCAGCATGCTCGTTTCTACATTTGAGCTACAGACAGGCAGTTAGAAGGCTAGCTTTAGAGAAAGAAGCTTTGCACATAAACTGCTGAGTCCCCCAGCCCAAACACGACTAACGATTACTAGATTCAGTCGTCACAAGTCACACTATCATAAAAGTAGCATATGTGACTGTAAAACAGAAAACCTGAACACAGTCAGCCCTGTGGCGTGGGCTAGTAACATTGGAAAGTTAGAAGGCTGAGGCAGGAGAACCACAAATTCAAGTCCAGCCAAGGCTTCAGGATAAGCTAATGACAGCCTGGACAACTTAGCCAGATCCTGTGTCAAATACACAAAAGTGTGTGTGTGTGTGTGTGTGTGTGAGAGAGAGAGAGAGAGAGAGAGAGAGAGAGAGAGAGAGAGAGAGAGAACACAAGACAGACATGCAGACAGAGACACAGGCACAGAGATTACAAGATTCATATACTTTAATCTTTAATTATTGGCTAGATATTGAACTAAACCTGGATGGTAAGAGATTTTGTAAGGCCACAATGATAGACCATGGAAAGAATGCATTATTACCGTTGAAAATTTCAGAAGCCGTGACTTAGGCTGTCATTTGTTAGGAAAGGAGAAAGCTGAGGAAAAGGTTGTAAGTCAATAAAAATAAAAACCTTAATGTACAGTAGGATGATGCCCAACACTGCAAATTTATTCTTATTATGTATATTACTTTCTTGAAATCATCCACATGTAATTATTTGTGTGGAGAGTCTTTGATATAGCTTAATACTGTAAATTGGATGCAGTTTTGGGTACAGTTGGCTTAGAAGTCTACCCCAAGTGATTTAATCTCAATAGATAACATTTAAATATATTTTCCCAAATATTGCTAAGATATAAAAGAGTAAATAGTAAATGCTGACGACCAAACTCAAAGGAAGAAACTTTTAGTTGAGAAAGATTTTTAAGAAAGTATTTTAAGAAAGATTCATGTGGGTAGTGTATGTTGTGAAAATTCAATGTGATGTCATGAAAAGAGGATCTAGGAAATTCACCAGTTAGTGGGAAACAAAACAAAAAGCTGTGGTGAAATTTCTAGAAAATACTTGCATAAACCATCACGATACAAATCCTACCACTGCACATGACGTCTGAGAAATCAGAGTGAGACGGTGACGGTGTAGAACAGACGCCGTCTGTGTGTTGCTAATATGCATCTTTGCTGTGCTCTGGATGTTTGGGTCCCCTATCCACACCCTGACACACAATCATCTTGTGATGGTACCGGATGCAGTCTTTGTCAAGTCATGATCGCTGTTAGTGTTGTCCTGAGGCCCCTGAGCTCTGCTTGCTCCTTCTAGCACTTGAGGATACAGAAAGAGTAGTATTTCTGAACCAAGCAGTAGCCCCCCCATGAGAAATATGTTTCTACTGTATATAGACCATCCAGCCTAAGATCATACAACTTCTCTCTCTTTCTCTCTCTCTCTCTCTCTCTCTCTCTCTCTCTCTCTCTCCCTCCCTCCCTCCCTCCCTCCTCTCAAATTTTAAAGTATTTCATTGAAGTAAATAAAAGCCCCACAGTATGAAAATTCTTCGAAGCAACCACTTACCTTACATGTTAATATATTTTCTTTACTTTGATTGTCCAGGTAAGGGAACTTACCTGGAGTAATATCTTCCCTTGGAGAGAAACTCATATCTAAAACAAATGTCAAAAAGTCACCCAATGATACTGTGGAATTGTGTGTACACATTAAGCCCCC